GATTATATACTTTAGCTCCCCCGCCCCAATCCAGGAGACCATGTGTGATTAAGGCTAAATTACATACAGTTGGCTGGGAAGAGTGGCTGGATAATCCGGTAAGGGTCCAATGACCCTGCTAGCCCCTTCTAAAGGAAGGAAGTTGAGCTCATTTTCTCACTTGATTTTTTCCAGTGTTTTTCTTGACTCACAGAAAGGGCACTGTGTGCACAAAGATGGGGTGCTGCAGAGTTAGGGATCCCTCCACTATTGGGCTGGGTAGGAAGGGGTCAGGGGCACTGACAAATTACACCTTTCTCTGCTTCATTTAGGACCCTGCCATTGACATTTCTGAGGAAAGAATCTGTTTTGACTGATAATGCAAATAATGTAGTTTTTAGTTTCAGTTAGTTCCCATATCACTCTGGACATGTAACCCAGGGCCTTGTGCGTGATAGACAAGTGTTCCCCACTCCGCACGTGCGTGCACGCGCGCACACACACACACACACACACACACACACACACACAGAAAACAAAGACAAAAACACTGTCCTGAGGCGGATTTCCAGGGATGAGGCAGCGTTATGTAACGCTACAATAAAGAAACAAATTTGGTAACAATTGATAACAAACTAGAACATTAGAAAACATGTAGGGTAAACGTGTCCAAAAAGAACTACTACTATGTGAAACAGTGGCATTAATATACACGTATGCACAGAGCTCTATTTTTCAAGAGTTCATATGAGCAAAGACTGAGCATTATGTTTCAGGACTGTTAAGGTTTTGAGGAATGAGTATCAAACATCATGAAGGGGAAAGGATTGATAAAAAACTGAAGAGCCTCGCAGACGGCCATGATGATCCAGTGCAATGAATTAAGGAGTCTGAAGAATGCTCCCCACCCAGGATGCTCGGTCGCAGCAGGACAAAACAGAGACATGGCTGTGACCACTCCGAGAAGCAGGGGTCGAGTTTTTAAGACTTCTACAAGTGTAATAATCTCATTTTGCCAGACCCATGGTACTTAAATGTTATTTCTGGAAAAATGTGCTAAAAATTGCCTCTCCTTGGAATTAAAAAAAAAAAGAGGTTAATGAATTGCTATGGTCATCATTGGACATGAATAAACCAATACTGTACTATAATTCTTTGTGTACTATTAAAAAAAAGAAATGAAATGGAAGCCAGACATGGTGGCACACACCTTTAATCCCAGCACTTGGGAGGCAGAGGCAGGCAGATCTCTTTAAGTTCAAGGCCAGCCTACTCTACATAGTAAGTTCCAGGCCAGTTGGGGCTGCAGGGAGATCCTGTCTCAAAAACACCAAGAAAAAAAAAAGAAGAAGAAGAATGAAATGGAAAACTCAAGAAAGTGGATTCAGGTGCTCTAGGCTCCAGCGCTCCGAACTACAGGCACACTGGCCCACAGGTTAGCCTTGCTTGTTGTTGTTGGGGTAAAGAAAATGAATTGG